TTGCACAGCAGCAATGTTGTCCGCTGAGGTGGTCTCCACAGGTCCACTAGATCGTGTCTCATCAAGCAGAGACTGCCTACGAAGCCTGAATTCCGCAAACCATTCAAACACAGAGCTTCTAAAGACGCGTCCTCACCAAAGGCAGCTCGTAAACAATCAAGCTAACACAAAAAATATCAAAAATGTACGACGAAAACACAAATTTGTTATTCCAGTTATCTACCGTTTTCCATCATAACTGTTTAACCTTCTTCTCACTCTGTTCTGTATACCAATCCACCCATCCCCTGTTATTGTTATTATTATTATGGCGTTGGCATCATGCTTTTCCGCAAGTCGGTGCTAAATACATATAAGTATATATGATTGTTTCTTTGTTTTCTTTGCGGTAATTATTGGTGCTAATCCACTTTTCTATGCTAAATAAGCTTGTGAGGATGTTCGTGTACTGGGTCCCCCTAGTGATTAGTAAGATGATTTTTGTCATAAAAACATCTATCGCTTATTTGCGCACATCCATCCTACGATAATAAACTGATTTCCGACGCATTGCATTCGTTCATCATGTGCATATTTTTTGATGAGACGCGAATCTCTGTTCGTTCTGTTTCTAATATTGTTGTTGTGTGTCCATAAACCATTGTTGAACAGTACTGCTAGTCTGCGTTATCAGTATTGAGTTATCTTGTATTCATCGAAAAGTCTTCCTGCTCTATCTTTTACTGACAGTTTCTTCCGGATTGGCACGTAAAGACCCGAGCATAAACATCATGGATTCGGGACTGGCGAGCGAATCCAAGTGAGTAAAAGTATTCGCTGCTTCGAGATCCGTCCTGCGATAATGATGCTACTTCCCACAAACTAACAAACCAAGCGGTATCTCGGAGTAGGCTTCTGGATGATTCATACTCACCTACATAAACCAACCGTTCAAAAATCCAGTTTATAATAATGAACAGCTAAATACTCTTAACAAATTCTCATTTGAGCAGTCGATCATTTTGAAAGCAATTCATTACATATTAGCGGGATCCAAGCAAAGCGTTGAGCATTTACAACGGTTGGTCTACGTCAACAAAAGCTCTTAGTCTTGAGTGTTCTCTTCTTTATTGTAGCAAAACTTCACCACATTGTTTCACAGCTTTGGCATCACTGATCATCACTTTCGGTAAACTGTGATCAGTTTCGAACCGGTTGTTGCGGAACAATCTCATGCTTCTCCATCCATGTTGGCTGATCAGTGTTGCGTTTGCGATTGTTTGAAATGTATTTTTCCTCTTTCCGGGTTTTATGTTGAAATAAGTGTATTAAAGGAATTGAACTTGAACCGTGTTCCACATCGTTGAGATAAATAGGTAATCAGCGATCACTTATAAGTTCACTTCACTACAATCCTTACCATAGTAAAACCAATCTCCGCCTGGGTATGTGATAGTGGTAGGATTTGTGGTCACGCGTTCCTCTACTGCGCATGTTCTATTCTATTTTAATGGGGTACTCGGGACTTAAATTACTCGGTTACACGGGAAAACAGCAAGATATCCTGATTCTCATGTGCAATTGTGTAAATGAATGTGTATCACGAAGAGAGTTGTTGAGAACCGATTTCCACAGGCATTTGCATAGCGCATTTATGTAAAACATATTCGTACACTCGTAAGGGAGAGTTTGAAACCGGTCTACCGAACAGAAGATATGAAGCAGTAAGCCGTAAGGTTCAATATGAAGTGAACCTAAATCTACACGATTTCGGATGATCTATTGATACAGCTCATTTAACACAACTTCAGTTGGTTTTTGATAACCAACAAAGAGCACTGGACAGCTGTTTCATCCTGTTTGGGACTCGTCAACAGTGCGTACATTTTGTGTCCTTGTCAGGACTCGAACAGCAATCAGTCGGTTCGGGACTTCAAACCCTTACGCCTGAGCTACACAGCCGAACAATCGAATGGGCTAATCCAAGCTTGATACTCTGAATTCAATTAGTTTTGTTCATGATCGCATAAGCTCTCTTTTTATATCGCCATTGCTACGATGATCTCCACACCGGTGCATATTCTAATTAAGCATTGGAGACAACGCTTTGAGTTCTCTTTTAGTCTGTTTCCACATCATTCTAACTTCTTTTCCCCCTAGAACACCGACAGCAGTCTTGGATGCAGGTGTCGGACCGGGTTCCGTTGCCCATAATCCCAATCCAGCCCCATCAGATCCAATAACCAGTAACAAATCAGCAAATTCGTCTTCGCGCACCGGCCCCACAACTCCAGCATCTTCCACCTGTGACTCAACTACTTCCGGTTCACATGCACCTCCAACTCGGCCCAAACTCATTCGTTTTGGCACGAATTGTGACCTTTCGGATGAGAAAAAATGGCTGCCACAACTGCATGAGTTGACAAAACTTCCCACGTTTGTACGCGTAGTCAGTGCGTTCAATATGCTCAGTCATGTGGGCTACCCATTATTGGGAATGAATACAGTTCAGCTATATTTGAAAGTACGTCTTTGGATCATACGTAAATTTAATTTGCCAAAATGCTCGAACTGTTCGGAAAAACGTTACTTTTTCAAGCTCTTTTGCTTCCAATGAAGAAAAACCACTAAGTATTCATTTGATCCCTTGGTAAACTGAAGGCCAGTAGCGGAAATTAATTCTGCTGTTTTGTGCTAGTTCCCATTCTGTTTCCTACCTCGAGAAGTCATCTACTCGAGCTTCCTTTATGCTGTATACGCTGTGCCCCAGATTTATGTCTGCCTGGAATCTATTGAATCCAAAGTATACGTACTGTGTCACGTGCCTGGTGGGTAACTCATATCTGTTCAAATATATCCTATCTAACAGTTCAAATGCGCGTGATATGCTTGATTTGCGAATTTCCTACGAAACCACGAATGATGATGACTGTGCCAAGTGACTGTAAACCTTTGACCCAGGGCCCACCCGATATGCCTTAGTTCCAGTGAGGGCTCTTCGATAAAAAGCCGTGCCTGCAAAAAAGTACTTTCTCTTTGTTATCGCGGGATCACGCAATCGATAGTACTGTTTTCGTTTTACTTATGAATTGGGCGTACTCACCTGCGTTACATATACCCAGTTGAAGCCCTTATATATGTATAATTCTCTGTGTCACAGTTCCGAAGGGTATTATTATGGTCCGAATAAACCATAATTACACATGGTAAGAAGGACACACGGTAGTGAACAAGCTCGTTTACGGTATTATCATGGTCATTGTGCCTATTTAGTCACAACCCTGGAATCACCAGGTTGCCATCAGTTTCGCTGGCTCCTTAAGGAGAATAGGTCAGGTTCATGATGATCATTAAGTTTCTTTGGAATGTAACGGGAAAGACACCCCCAGCGTAATCCTGTTTTGTTTAGGCCATACATCTATGTAGTATGTACGGACTGCACAGCATATGTGTTATTGCATCCAAACAGGCAGCCGAAAAACAGCAACCAAAACCATTGCACGAAAGTGCATGGTTAACGGTTGTAAAAACTAAAACTGTTGCCGACGGCTCCCTGGGGGCTCTTTTACCTTTCGGTCGACGTGTATTTAGCCCAATTGTCGATGCCTCACTGTCGAACAACTTTCCTTCATGGCTGTTGGATGGAGAAGTATATTCCGTTCACTCACTTAAGAGCATCGGCCCACCGCACGTCTTCTCATGCAAGGATTTAGGCCCCTAACTGCCTTCAGTTTGGTTATATCCGTTTCTCGAGCGGTTTACCGGGTTTTGGCCTTTGATTTGCTCCTCAGCTTCTCGGAGTCACAGGTAAGAGTTGGGAGTATGATGGAGACTGATAACAAAGCGTTCTATCAGTTCAAGGACGCTTCCATTGTTAGATTCGCGTTACTTATCTTATCGCCAGGGAAAAATGGAATTCCAAGTTCGGTCAGTGTTGTGGGTCATCATTTTTACTGACTATCATAGGTAACCATAAATTATCTTATATCATAATTTGTCATAACCGAGCAACGAATTCCTATTGGTACGGGACTGTTTATTATACTACTTGTTCCATTCATTGGTTTATTCAAATTTATGCAGTAATTACCATTCCTACTGTGTTTCTCTCTTCTTGGATTATTTATTCGCGTACCACTTTTTCTTCAAATTTTACTTTCATTCCGTTTAGTACATATATAATAATACAATTTTCCCGAAGAAGGAAGCTGTCAATCAAGGGGCTACCATGCAACACACATAGAACAGGGAAAGTCCTATAAATCACATTATCGTAACTCCCAAACGAGGAACGCTCAAGCCGGCAATTGTAGATGCCAGTTGAGTGATACATTCATCTACAAAGTTGTCTTCTGCAGACATTTAAATTTTCATCAAAGCCTTTTTGCCGTTTACTAGTGATTAAAGTCTATGCGTCACTTTGTTCCAGGTACCCGGCTGCCGTACCCCTGGGCATCAGGAGAATAATTGTTTCTGCGCTGTGAATATTAATATTGGCCCCGGTGACTGTGAATGGTTTTCTGTACCGGAACAATATTGGGGCGCCATACACGACCTGTGCGAACGAAACAATGTACGTTTTGAACTACCTTACCAACCGATTTCCAGTTCGGTGTTTAAAACAGGATAGAGCATAAGCGTCTGTCTCGGTTTAGTCAATAGTCTTTAGGATATTCATCATGCTCGTGCGGCTTCGCTTAATTGTACTGCTTCTTATCCCCTAAGAATGATCAACTGTTCTTCCGTATAACTAATTCAAGGATCTTTGTTTATACCGCACAGCATTGCACGATAACCGTGACTTTTCTTTAATTTTCTGAGAAATCACATATGCCACGGTTTGTGCATTGTTAATTTGGTCTCGGCCTCACTGATAGGAGTTCATTAATTCCCTACATTTTGAAATTTTCATTTGTCAAACAGTTAGTAGGGGAGGGGTGACAGAGCAATGGAAAGCTCTCTTTCTTGCTGAAGCTCATCAGCAGTAAGCGCTTTTGCCGGAACTCGGTTAGGATCTTGTTTGCCATGCTAATTTGTGATTGGGTATTGTTTACTCCCTGGGAGTGACGACCGACAGGTTTATAATAAGTTTTCTGTTGCGTCAAAGATTTATTATTGCCGAATTGTGTTGTTCGCAGCGTAGTTCAAACAGAGACATAGAGACACAGCGGTACAGAAAAACAGTTGGCAGGTTTTTGGTTTATTTCATTAACGCAAGAATTCAAATTGCCGTCGATTTCGCGTGCTCTCATTCCCATGTAAACACACACCGATACAATTGTGTAAAACAAAGAAACACGCGTTGGAATGACTCATTGGAACAACGTGGTCTATAAATGAGTTGCTTGGTTTGAAGTTGGCCTGGGTTAAGGTGAAGTTAGATACTAAACTTTGATAACACGTTACAAAGGTGATGGTGACTGCTTTTCCTGTGGGAGGGGAAGTGAGAAGACGATACGTCACAACGTAGTGGCTCAGTACCTGGTGTGATGCAGCCTCTACCACGCCAGTAACAGTTGCGGCACAAATGTTTATTTTATTTATTATTGCGGCTTCAA